AAAGACTGGAAATAAATTATTTGCACTGATATGTCCTGATGACAATTTTAAAGAAAACAAAAAAAGTGTTTGCATAAATTGAAGAATTATTTCCTATGTTGTGGTTGAGAGGTTATGTTAGGGGAGGGGGGCGATGACAACTTCCTCATTGGCTCAAGGGGGCGATTCGTTCAAAAAGGTTAAGAACCACTGCTCTAAACTATAGAAAATAAGGCTGTGCATACTTTGATTGGACGGACTTCTTCAGCAGTTAAAAATTTAATCACAATATGTTGCTTAAAACCCTCTGATGAATACTCATTTCAGGATTTCATTTCACAAAACAATCAGCGTTTTCTCACAGCCACTTCCTGTCAATTGAAGTAAAAGAACAGATCTAAAGAACATGTTAGAACTGCTAACATGTTAGCACCATCAATTGTTGGCAGTTTATAATATTACTTGGCATTAGTTTTTCACACCTCTCTCCCAGACATCTTTGATTAAAACTGATTTATTTCACAATTTTTTTCAAATATTGTGTTGTGGGATCATTTATATTCCACTGTTAAGCTATTCCTTGATTGTTGATTATGTGCCCTAAAGCAGGGGTCCCCAACCCCCGGTCCGTGGACCGGTAACACAAAACCATGCACTCTCCGGTCCGTGAAAAAACCTTTCTCCATGAAACTGGTCCCTGGTGCCCAGAAGGTTGGGGACCTCTGCCCTAAAGTCATTATTATTTCTTACTGACTACATAGATAGATTTTCTTCATGATGATCTGTCCCTAACCTGGGACTGATGTCATGGTTTTCTTTTTTTCAAGAAAACCACACAGAATCCTTGTTGGATTACTTTAAATAATCCAGAGAGCCAGATCTTCCTTTTACACCTCTAGTAACTATACATCAGTAGGTTGAATTTTTAATATGTAATACTTATTTTTGAAGCAGAATAAAAAATAGGATATGCTTTTGTAATCTAAGTAAATCCATGCTAATTCCCCCCCCCCCCGAAAAGTTTGTTTGTTCATTTAAGAATTCCGTAATATGTAAAGGAGTTCTGCAGGGGGTAAATTGGTCAAATATTTAAATGAATTAAAAGGATTAATTGGAACTCTTGAGTAACAGCATATATGTGTACAATGCTGGGACACAAAAGGTAATATTTTTAATTTTTGAAGAGTAAAATGGGTGGAGATGCCTTGAAATAAAACTGAAACATTGCTATTGAAACTCTGTTGGGTGGGTTGCTCAGTAATCTACTGACAAGGGTGTGTTTGTGGTATTGTGGTATTGGGAATTATTAGTATTTTCGGTAGCAGAGGTAATGCGCTTTTAATACACCCATTGTGTTGATTGGAGTTTTTTGCATTTAGTAAGTTTGTGTAATAGATATTAATTGACACTAGACACATTAACTGACACTAGGAAAAGTAGAGTTTTATATATAGCATGCAGGAAATTACACAATTTAAAAAATTCAAGTTTTTTTAAATTAAACTTGTAATTTTTAAATGATAAAATATTAGACTACATTGCATGCAGCCACTCCTCACACTTCACAAATGTAGTTTTGCAACTTATCCATGGACCCCGCTAGCAGTTCTTCTGTATCACTCCTAGTTAGTAAGTTGCTTAAATCAAGCTGGAAAGATTTTTATTCTGAAAAATTGAACGACTGACGAGATACACTTGTGAGAAATGAGGCAGAAGAGGGATCCTTGGTGCTCCCTGAACTTGGTTGTTTTCTTGCAGATGTTTCATTTCCCAAACCAGGTAACATCATCAACACTAGTGGGGAGTAGGGTTTGCTCTCACTATATATTCTAGTGGCTTGCCCTGTCAGTGGTGGTGGAAGTTCTTTGCTTCAACTGTTTATGGCTATCTTGTTTGGCAGTTCCTTAATAGGGTATAGTTTACTTCTTGATTGATGGTCTAAGGCAGGGGTGTCAAACTCACAATATCACGTGACGTGTCATGACATATGACTTTTTTTCCATTGCCGGCAATGGGGTGGGTGCGGTTTCAGCATGATGCATCCGGCCCGTGGGCCGGCAGTTTGACACCCCTGGTCTAAGGTTAATCTTGGTGTTAATCTCCGCTCATCTGGGAGTTGATTGCTGGTGGGAAGGTATTTGGTCTTTTTGTTCCCTTTTTGGCTTGTCTGTTTTGCATAGAATGTAGATGTTGTTTATGTATCTATTGATGGCCGATTTGTCAGAGTGCTAGGCTTCCAGGAAAAATAGAAAGATGGATATTTCCAGGAAAGAGATACATGCAGCTCACTCAAAATTTGAGCTTATAAATCAGCAGAGAGACATTTATAGTTCTTTGTTCCTACTACCAGCTACTTCCTATGCATGAATAGATCTTGTTTGGGGGATTATGTGGGGTTGAGTGCAATTCTATGCTTTTAATAAAGATACATCCAGACATCGTCAGTTCTAGAGAAGTTTCAATCCACTGTTTAAAATATCGTTTGGTAACTTAACTGCTTGTGATTGGCTCTAGAAGTAAGATTTTGTGAATACTTGTAGATATGCTGTATATGTCCACCTCAGTTGTCCTAACAGTAATGAATCTGGATTTCTGAAACATGTTAAATTATCCTTTCTTCCCCTTTCTACTTAAATTATGGGTCTCTTTAAGACACAACTTTTGCAACTTGCTTCCTTCTGTAAATACCAACTGACTTATCTATCATGAAATGCCACTGCTAGGAATTGAAAGAATTTAGTATTTAGCTTAAATGTATTAAAATGTTATTCAGTATGTGATTAACATGTGACAGGAAGTTCATGGTTAACTTTGGGTCAGTCATTCCTCTCAGGCTGGGATGTCAAACAAAAACAAAAAACAAAAAAACCACATCCATTTACCAACTCGCAGTAATTCAGCATGAAAAGATCTTTATCCTCCAGTAGACTGATTCAGCCGATTTTCTAATCTGTACAAGATGATTTTATTGTAATCACCAGAGTCGGGAGAGTTGTTAAGAAAGTAATATTTTTGTTGGCAGAAATACTGTTGAGCAATTTGGAGAAACCGCTCTGTAAAAATGAAACCACACATGCCCTTTGATTATGTACACCTTTCCCTTTAATATCCTTTGCTAATGCTCAAAGGCATCATAATTTTGTCTATTTTTATCTCCTGCTGTGGTATGTGGTATGCATATGGCATATGGGTTTTGTGGCCAAGCTGGTTGTGGCTATGCTGGCACAAGTCAACAGAAAGAAAGGAGAGAAAGCATAGAGAAGAAACTCTGATATGGCT